GGGGAAAAGAAGGAGAAAAGATTTGTTTGAAGCATTTATTTTTAATTAAAACCCTTTCCAAGTGATGTGATGTAGTGGTGGTGGTGCTGTACCCACTGGGTCGCAGCTAGTGGTCAGAAGAAGTTGAATAGAAACACAGATGAGTGGAGATGACTTCAGGTTGCTCATCTTGGTGTAATACCTTCTTGGTGTTGCTGCTGGAAAGCAAAATGAACGAGAAAACAATGTTTGGATACATCAAATGCATTTATAAGACAAATATTTTGCATATAATCAGGAAATGGGAGTTCAGGGCTCCCCTAGACCTGTGTGGCTTGATTGAGCCAATTCACCACTAGCTGGTGTGGTCAGTGCTTAGTGCAGATCTCTTACTCACTGTGCAGCATTTCCCAACACAGACAGATTTAAATAGCAAAGCAAAATGTTTTCAGATCATAGAAAAAGCTCTGCAGATCCAACGTCCTTGCTATTTTTAGCTCTTGCTTGGTTTTAGCAGCAGAGTGGCCAGATGTTAGCTTCATGGAATGGACAGAAATAAGAGCCTTAAAAAAGAGCTGCAGGAAGAAAGATCAGTTTTTTAGGCAGCAATCTCTCAGTTGTGCGTGGTATGAAGTATGAGTTATACTTCCCTAGTATTTGAGAAAGTTTCAGCATCAAAGTGAACCTGAGACTACCCTAGGCTTGGGGCTGATTAAGGCTCCTCTAAGAGATAAAACTGGGAGTTTTCTGTGTAAAATCACATAGTAAGAGACCACTGTCCCTGTGAAAATCACTGGGACCTACTGAGTCCTAAACCACTTGTGGTTTTGCTGTTGGACTGTGGAGTGTCTTGATAGTTTCAGATGGAAACAGTAAAATGCTTTAGATGTGTTTCTAAGGCAGCAAATTCTTCATTTTTCTGGCTTATGTGGGCAACGTTTTGGTTTTCCAGTGATTCAGGATTGGAAAAGGTGCTCAGGCAGCAATGCAGGTGAGCACTCATTCAGCTGAAACTGTTGTGAAAGGCAAATATGGAAAGGGAAGAGCATTTCCTTTCCATTCCTTCCCATCCTGGGAGACAGAGCATGTCACAACAGTGCTGAGCAGACAAGAGCTGCTTGCCAGCATTTAATTTGTTGAAGATTAGGAAATTATTCCATTCTTACAATACCATGTCAGTCTAGAAATACCTTTGAACTCTGGGGGATGTGAAGTTTAGATCTAGCCTCAGATTTCATAGTGTGTGGATGCCAAGGCTTTATCAGGGTGAGAACTGTATGGCTGGTTTGAGGGGAGTCATGTTAATAGTGTACCTAGAGACAATGGGTTGGCTCAGCTTCAGCTGCCTTTGGACTGTGGGATAACTAGATCCAGAGCAGGACACTGAACTTGGGCTTTTTACTTTGGGATCTAAGAGCTGGCTAGTGCAATTTGGAGCTATTTCTGTCTTGCTCTAGCTGCCAAGGGAGCTGACTGCTAAAACATTGTCCCTTTCTAGCCAGGAGTTTTCCCCCTGAAAATATCTGCAGCCTTGAACCCCACATCCTTCTCTAGATGCTGTGCTTCCTCCATGCCCCAAACACTCTGTGTCCTCCTCAGGCTGAGGGCAGAAAGCTGAGCTGTATCCAACTGGGCTGAACATCAACATGTGATTCCATTAGTTTCCAAAAGCACTGTCACAACTGGTGGTGTCAAACCATAAGCAAAGTCTTCTCTTATGAGCACAACTGATAAACAAATATACAACACTTGGTGTCAACAGCCTCACAAATCTGTTCACCACCTGGAGCTCGAATCAGCTCAGCAGTTGCAAACCACGACCTGCGCAGAAGGTTTCAGAAGGGCCATAAATAAATTGGGGTCCTGACGTGGGCACCAAAAATAAGCATGTGCTGAGCTTTTCTGAGTGTTTGGCCAGGTCACAGCTGCTGGCTGATGAATGTTTGGGAAAATGAATCCCCTCATTCAGGTGCTCAATGCTAGAAAATGTAGACCTGAACAGCTCCAATGTCATTTGCTTCTGTAATAACCAACTGCTGTTGTACCAAGTTGACAAGATCTTGCTGCTAATCTGGGAAGGAGCAAAGCAGTTCTTTTCATCCTGATCCTACCTGATTATTCAAAAAACAGCTTGAAAAGACTTTCCCCTCTTTGATGGATTCAAACCTTAAGCTCTGGGCCCATTGTAACTATCCTTCCCTCGCTCCAAGCAGTCCCATGTGCTGCTGCCATGCCATGCAGGAAAGCAAATATCCCTGATTGCTCTGATATCCAATAGCTTTTGCTGACCTCCCTTGCAGAGAATTCCTTGTAAAAGTGATTTTGTGCAGAGGTTTCAGTCACTTGGAGCCTTGCAGGAGTTTCTGAGCTCTGGTGATTTATTACTTCTCCATAACCATGTGGTTTATGGAAAGCCCTGCTGGAAATATATGGGGGTACAAGGGTGAAAGTATCAATTCCCCAGTGATCTGGTGCCAAAAGCCACCCATGAGCAAGGACAGGAATGAGGTTTCAGGATATGGGATAAGGCTTGGAGAATGAACCTGCAGAGGAGCAGGAGGTCTGTGCTGGGCAGGTTTGAACCAGGACCCCAAACTGTGGGATCAGGAGATGGGATAAGACTGGATCCACTCCTTTATAGAGTAAGATAGGGCATCAGTTTTCAGTCTCCTTGGCCAGAGCAGATTGGAACTGGGATCCTTAAGGCCTCTCAGAGCCTCTGTGAATGAGAGCAGCAGTGAAGAAGGGCTAAGTCCCAGCAGTGCTGCCAGGTGAGGACATCAACACACCTCCTGGCTCACCCAGGAACATCTTCATGGTGGAGGAGGTGGCTTCAGGGTTCCTGCACAGGACTCTGGCAATGAAGGAGCCCTTTGAGAAGATGCTTTTCTCTTTGCAAACTTGGCTGAAGGAGAGGAAATCATCTGTTCCACGGGTGGGTCAGCTTGTTTTTGTTATCCCACGATGGCTGTAGTGAGTACTGACAAGGAGGTCACATGGGAGCAGGGTCTGGTTTACCTTCTGTGTTGCTGGTTGGTGTCAGAGGGTGCATAAATCTCAGGGAGCACAGAATTGGTAGTGTAAGAACAGGACAGTGTGCTCTGTCCTAATTTATGATCTTTGAGCAGCCAGTGAGGTTGTGAATCAAGGCAGAATTTCTGCCAGGTTCCTTGGTGATGGTATAGATCAGCACAGCCTTGAGCTGGAGAAAATCCACAGAAAGAAAAGGTAGATAAAGCTTTACACAAGCTAAAGGTTCGTTTGACAATTCTGGTCTCATCCCTCAAGCACTTCCTTGGTGGTTTAAGTGGAAAACTTTACATTTAATAGAAACAGTTTGGTTTCTTGCATTACAGAGAAGTGGAGGAGAAAGCAAGACTTAAGTGCCAGTCTGCCTAAACCTCAGTCTATAGTCACAGTTGTGCCTACATCCCAATCTGTTGGGATTTACAGTGTTTTGGCAATAGTTTCCCAAGTTTGCTTTGGAAGTGGTTGGATTTTGCACAACTTGCCTTGGTTGCAGAGAGAAGCAACAATCAACAAGCCACACCATTGTGTGATGTGCCTTGTGTGCTGCATCTTCCCTGGGACCTTGTGTGGTCACAACCCTTGGGGCAGGAGGGAAAGGAATACAGGTCACCAGCAGGCCAGGCTGGCAACTCCTTTCTTCCACTGCAAAGAGTTACTCACCACAATAGACTCATCAAGGCCTGCAGATCATTATTTTCATTAGAGGTGATTCATATCAAGGGTTTCCCAACCAAAGCTGCTGGTGTAATATGTTCCTTTCCACAGCACCATTTATCTAAAGATCTATGGATGCTTTATGTACATTAAACTTTAGGCCATGTTTTACCACCAGTGAAGTAGGTAAGGAGGATTGTTTCCCTTTTACAAATGAGGTAAACTGTGCAAGAAAGTGACTTGCCCAAGACTCTGCAGTTGGTTGCAGAGTTGTGTATTTTCCAGTGAGTGTAGGTTTCCCATACGTGGCTCTGTTTCCCTGCCTGGATTTTAAAGGAACATTTGATTTCCTGGGGCTAAGGCTGAGCAGGAATCTGCTGTAGCTGTAAATCAGAAGGGCTGATGTGAATCAGAACTTCCTCTAGTGTTTGGGAATGTTTGGATTTGTCATCCCGGAACGGCCCTGACCTGAAAGGATTGGAGCAGAACTGGTTTGGTTTTAGGGCTGGTATCAAGTGGTTGGTATAAAATGTAGAGTTTGGAGATGGTAAAAAACTCTGCTCCTAATCTGTTCATCCACATCTGCCTGTATGGTCAGCAGGGTCAGTGTGGACAGTGAAGGATCAAAGTGATTCATCTGATGCAGTAACTTACTAGGGATGAGATGATTTGTGACTTGAACTCCGTTGCCTGTTGCCTGCAAGGGGAGATTAGGTGACTGTCTCAAGTGAACCCTGTCCTAGTGTCCACAGGGAAGCAAAGCTGCATGAATGGGGACAGATTTCATCTCTGCTGGATTTAATCTCTTGTGGTAATTAGACATGACTTCAATGGTGTGTGTTAGAACAGCTCCTAAAACAGAAACCCAAGTCAGTGGAAAGGTAGGTAGTCCTTCCTTTCCCTGGGCTAGGGAAGTACATGGCAAGATGCCCAGCACAAGGAAAGCTCTGCAATCTGGGAGAAGAAACAGGTCAGAGAGGGGAATTAACTGGCTTGTGGTCATTTAACAAGTGAGTGGCAGAGCCAGGAAAGCTATTCCTGTGTCCCTCATCTCTCAAGCTCTGCCAGGGGAGGTTTAGATTGGATATTAGGAAGAGATTTTTTACAGAGAGAGTGCTCAGGCATTGGAATGTGCTGCCCAGGGAGGTGGTGGATTCACCATCCCTGGAGGTTTTCAAGCTGAGACTGGATGTGGCACTTAGTGCCATGGGCTAGTAACCATGGTAGGGTTGGACTTGATGATCTTTGAGTTCTCTTCCAACCAGGCTGATTCTATGATTCTATGATTCCAGTGCCACTGAACTGACCTTCATCCACTTCTGCTTCCTTCCCTGCCAGGATCCTCTTCTCTGAGGGCATATCCTCTCATCTCTGTCATCACCAGGCAGCCCTCGGTGGTGCCTCACCTCCTGCCAGCTGCCAGCAGCTCCCGAGTGCTGCCAGCCCAGCCCTCCTCGTGCCCTGCCAGCTCAGACCCTCCTGCCACTGAGGCCCACGGCAGCAGCGAGTCGGAGGCAGAGCAGCCTGTGCCACGCTTGAAAAAGCCACGGAGGAGTAGGACCATCTTCACAGAGATCCAACTGATGGGCTTGGAGAAGAAATTCCAGAAGCAGAAGTATCTCTCTACCCCTGACAGGTAGGTCAGGTGATGTCTTGTGGTTTAACCCCAGGCAGGACCCATCCAATTCCTCCTATGAGGTTTGTAAACCTAGAGAGGGTTTGAAAGTGTCCAAGGTGGAATTCTTTGCTTGTACTGCCTGTCACCAAGCTGAGGATTGCAGTGAGCTCAGATCTCCTGGCCATGGCCAACCTGTCTCATAGAGCTGCCTCCTGACAGCTTCACATTACCAGCTGATCGACACTGTTGCTGAAGCACTTGAGGCTGTAATTTCATATTACCATATGACTGTTCTTTGGCTTTGTACACGTCTGAGGCTGGTGAGCAATTCCTGTCTGTGTACCCTTTCCCCTGTGTTTGTTTCCTTGGGTTTCCAGGCAGTGCTGGTTAAGCTGAGGTGTGTGGCAAGAGATGGCAGATGGCTGCAGGTAGTCAAAGTGTTACAAGACATGCACTAAGGCTCAAAGAGTTAGCCAAGCTGTTTCTCTCTGTCAACTCATGGCAGGAAATGTGATGGCAAAGCAGTGGATTGTGATCTGTGTTCACTCCTCAGCTCTTGGCCTGGATGCAGACTGTGCCCCTGGGAGGACACCTGGAGCACCTGGTTTGGTAGGAGGAAGGGAGTGAGGTATGACAGGGTAATGACTGTGCCAGATTGTGATTTTACATAACAGTAATGGTGTCTCAGATCAAGGGAGCATAGGCAGGTAGTGGCATAATGAGCCTGAAGGTCCAGAGAGATTCCAGAGCTGGGGAGAAGCAAGAATGAGCATGAGTGGAGAGCAGAGAGCTGGTGTGGAGTCCATGGCTGTTTGTACACACGAGCCTGGTTGCCCTAGGAGCTCAGCTTGGAACCCAAGTTTGACTATGAAAAACTTGTGTGTTCTCCCATCTGAAGGCAAGGAGTTATTTTCCAGAAATCCCCAGAATGCAGAACACTTTGGCACGTGGAGCTGGTGCTGTCCCACCTGCAGGACTTGCGTGACTCCACGGGGCACTTGGTTGGTGTTGCTGAGGATTTACAACTCCATCCGTTGTGCAATTCCATTACAAAACTGCCAGCTGCACTGGGCTCTCACCTGTGGGGAAGGATCAGGAATTACTCTGAGCTCCATTTGCTTCATATCCAGGGGTTTAATATAGATCTAATGAATGGGTTCACACGAACTTGCCTGGGTTTGAGATTTGGGCAGGATGAATCAGGATTATGGGTGTCTGCCACATATCCCCTTAAGCTTAGACACGCAAATAAACTCACTTATGAGCCTAAATTGCCTACATTAGCAGAAAGCATATGAAATGAGTAGGTTTAGATGTACTGCTACTCCGTGAGAAGTGGCTAAGTATTATGATCCCCATTACGTAGGCAGTGAAGAAGAAATAGGATACAAAGAGTAGCACTTTCAAAGGCAGCCTGATGCTGGGCTCCTAAGTGTTTGCTTCAGACAGCAGAGACCTGTTTTTCAGGGCTGTGATGTCCCTTTGGCTCCCTAATTCATGGACAAACATGGAGTGGCAGCAGTTGGAGTGCAGCAGGTTTGTGTTTCCAAGAGCACAGGCAAACTGTGTGACTTCTAGGGGGAGAAGAGAGAACAGAGAACCTGCAAATACCTCAATATTCCTGTCTCTTCCATAGCAGCATCTGTCTTTACATCCTAAATTTGTGGTATTTATCACTTTTGTCTGACTGTACTCCAAACAACTGATGAGAGAGACAGTAAACGTCTTCTCTGTTGGCTCCACTGTTGTATGTTCTTAGAGTGTTGGTTTACTTGCACCATCTGAGCTCCTCTTGTCCTCTGTTAACTGATTTCAGTGTCTATTTTGTCTCCCAGGCTTGACTTAGCCCAGTCCTTGGGGCTGACTCAGCTCCAGGTGAAGACCTGGTACCAGAACCGTAGGATGAAGTGGAAGAAAATGGTGAGTGATTTGTTCCCATTTCTCCATGGGCCTTAAAAACTGGTTTCAGAAGACCAGATTTGGAAGCTGAGCATAGTGCCAGTAACTTGAGCCTATTTATACCCACACTTGTTTTATTCTTGATCACTTTTCTCAGAGATACACTCTTTTTAAAGTATTACCACTGCAGTGCATGTGGTGGGCTAGAGGGGACCATAGGCAGCAGGAAGGATACAAAGCAAAGGGCTGAAAGAAATGAGAATAGAACAGAGGGAAGAACCAAAATATCTCTCTCTGCATTTTTTTTGCCATTCTTGTCATCTTAGTGCTTGCGGGATTGGTTCTGTGCATAGGCAAAAAAGACTGTGTTGCTCTATGGAAACCAGTGCAGTTTTCAGAGCTGATATCAGTAATTCTTGCTTTTCATCTCTTCCCTTCATCTCTTTTACTTCTTCTCAGCTTCAGGACCCTTTCCCAGTTAAAGTACTTCTTAGAAAGGACAATCATCCAATAAACCATGGTGGAAACCATGATCACAGAATTACAGAATATACAGAGTTGGAAGGGACCCTTGAGGGCCATCCAGTCCAACTTCTGTCCCTGCACAGACACCCCAACAATCCACCCTGTGCCTGAGAGCATTGGCCAAACACTCCTGGAGCTCTGTCAGCCTTGGGGCTGTGACCACTGCCCTGGGGAGCTGTTCAGTGCCCAAACACCTCTGGGGGAAGAACCTTCTCCTAGTATCCAACCTAATACTGTGACATTCTCCAGAGGAGATGATGTATTCTGTTCTGGGAGAGGGGATGCAGTTCTAGGCTATTCTTTGAATGTATATAACAGCTGCAGAAGTTATGCCACTTCAACCAAATTTGGGATTAGCTTGGATACAGATCTTTGATTGGAAGTGTCTTGTTGCTGCAGTGATGCTGTGAAGGGAGAGGGGATTAGACATAGGAACAGGATATCTCAGAGCAGTGTTTTTCAGACTGATCCTGATGGTTCATCTCTGTGCTGCAGGTGCTGAAGGGTGGACAGGAAGCTCCCACAAAGCCCAAAGGTCGTCCGAAGAAAAACTCCATTCCCACCTCGGAGGAAATCGAAGCAGAAGAGAAAATGAACAGCCAGGCCCAGAGTCAGGAGCTGGAGGGATCTCAAGCCCCTGAGGAACCTAAACTGACAGAGGAGAAGCCAGAAGAAATCTCTTTGGAGTCAGAGAAGCCTCCAGAACATATAGCAGAGCCCTCCTCTGAGGAGACTCCACCCCTAAGTTAAAAGGGAGAGAAAGGAGGGAGAAAAGAAAAGCGAACAAAAGAGATAAAAGAGAAAAACCAAAACCAAATATATATATAT